GGGGGGAGCGGGGGTGTTATCAACCCGAACTGAACTTGTCATGAAAGCAATCTCGGTATCAATATTGCTTGAGACTCGAGTGTATTCCTTCATACTTACGTCATTGGACAGATCTGCTACGTCTGTTTGTATTCATGTATAATGAAGTGAACAGCGTTGCCATAATTTCTGAAATACATTTAGCTAGCAGATCGGTCGAAGTTCACTTAAACAAACCGATCGGGATGCTGGACGGACTTTGCTGTCAGAAGTCGATTTCCATCCAATCGCATTTCCGTAATCAAAGTCTCGTGCTTTCTCGCGCTAACTCTCGGTGTATTGGAGCAAATGCGTCGTCTGTAAAGAAAGTGTGTGAGAACAGAAAGCAGCTTACACATGGGTTGGAAACGAGGAAATACCGGTGTTGATTTTCAAAACAGCAATGGAAATGACTTAAATAGTGAGCGGAATGTAACCTAATGAAAGGATATTTTACGTCGAGTGAAAATGCCTGGAATTGTGGTGTTCCGACGCAGATGGTCGTTTGGATCCGACGATTTGGTGGTGCCATCCATATTCCTGCTCACCATCCATCTGACTTGGTAAGCAGCGTTGCTCTCTCGGTGTAATACCTGAGCCTTACTACTTCTTCCACAACTGAGATATTTGTACCATGAAAAAATCGATATATGCTTCTCCTGATTATGTTTGGCCCCAAATCATCCCAATTTAGAGTTTTGCTTGCCTTTTTCATAACATGCCTTAACTTCAGCATACTGGGTATTGGGAATTAGAAATCCAATGGCCTCTTGATGCAAACAGTTGGCTAGACGAGAGGACCGGCTGGAATCCGAAAGATGTGTTGCCGTTCATGTGAATAATTTATTAACATGTCATGTCAGTTGTGAATTTTCAAAGAATAGTTTTATCATTATCATCTTTATACAATGCAGTATTGTATAGATTTCTACATGGTGCACGGATGAAAATGTAATGCTGAATATACCATTTTATAACCTTTTACATATTGACTCCAAATTTACCTTTATAATATAGGCTAATAGGTCTTCATCCTGCTGATGCAAGTATCACCACTACTTGTAACATTTACAGTGATAATGTTGAGGATGCTAATTTAAAAGAAAAAACACCCCACATTCAATGTCAGTATTTGTTGCATTGAGTGACCAATTTCAGAGCCCCTCCGATGGAAATAGACAGGTAATTCATGCAATACCGCAAAATTAGAAAGTAAAGTGCTTCAGGTTGTTGACAAATATTACCTGGATTGCTTTTAAGCAAAGATTTAATTAATGTGCTAACAAAAATTCTTTTGAAAGTGAGTATTTTGTACAATCCTCAATACATGTATACATATTTTGTTAGAAAGTAGAAGAGAACATTTAAGTACATTTTCTATGGAAATGCTGAGTAAAATTGTTCTTTTTTTCAAATTTTGAATCTTTATTGAACCCCTTTTCAATTCAACAAGTTTTAAAATCAATGATGATGTAGTACTGCAAATACCTAATAAAGATAAGTGAGTGCTATAATATGCAAAGGTTAACTGCTGTGCATATACTCGTATGATACTGGGGGAAATGGGTGCAGCAGAAAGAGCTTGTGTAAGTAGCACTTTTAGTTTGTACATGATGTAAAATTAAAGAGGTGCTTGGTTTATGAATTATGACTATCAAAATATCCTGGTATCCTGCTGATATATTTTGTTGATCTTCAAATATGAATACTATAAAATATTGTGTAGACATATATTGGCATCCATCTCTCTTTTATATATATAGTTAATTTTGGTAATCCCCTGAATCCATTAATATTATATAGAATGCTTGCACATCTTTCTTCCTTTTTCTCTTTTGTGTCCTGCCTTCTCAACATACAATATATATATACATGTACTATAGTGATTAAAAGAATAATAGATTTTTGGGAGATAGGGTTTATGTCATTGTGTTGGTGTGTGTGTGTGAGTAAAAGTGCATAGGCATGGCTATGTGTGTTTTATTTAAATGTATCTGCGTGAAATGCTTTTGTAATAATGTGTATACATTGGCCATGATTTTGTGTGAAGTGTCTTGTAGTAGTCAGTGTATGGACTTTTCATGATTTTTGTGTGCTTTGTTCTGTAAGCCAGTGTATGTATTACTGATGATGATGATGTCGGACGGCGATGATGATAACTATGATAATGATAATGGTGGTCCTGGAGTCTGATTACTTGTAAATAATCAATATGTTTTGATACATAGATGATGTTGTAATGAGTTTATATTATGATATAAATTCTATTTTACAACAATTATGAAACAATTTATTTCAACTTAAATCATTCACTCTTGTAGATGCGGTAATATGAAACAGTCTTATTGGTTGGGATGTTTGTGCACGGGGTGGGTGTGGGTTGTGTCTTAATGTAGAAGGAACCAAAGTACCTGGAGAAGAGAAAATCTATGTGGTCAGGCATGTGTCCCAATACCTTTTCATGTCTGACTGAGGAAAATGAAAATTATTTCGTGATGTATTTATGAAGAGGTGGAGCAGGAGGATGATGCACTTAAAAAATGTCACAATGACGTGCAGGTTTTAAAGTGGGGATGTAAGAGTGTATGAAATGATATGTCAATGTCAATATACCATCGTAACAAACATGTATAGGGGTGAAGAGGGGG